ACACACACACACACACACACACACACGCGCGCGCGCGCGCACAACTAAGAGGTTCAGTCTGCTTAACATGACATAATATCTACTATTGTTGAAATTATGCTAATGCCAATTATGTACAATTGTAATATTCAGTTTATCTAGATCATATTACTTGGAAAGCGTAGGCTATCATTTATGAAATACGCATTGCGAATGGATGCCCCGTTTTTGTGCCCCGTTTATCACTAACATTCAAGCACTTGCAAAATATAATAAAAAGAAATGTAATTTAACAATTGATAAATAATGAATTGTAATGTTTTTATTATTTTTATATAATCATATATTTCATTTTGCTTCTATAACACAGAATAAAAATATATTACTCTATTTGACATTATATTAATATTATACAGATAAATTAATCATTGAGAAAACATGCTGTGTATTCCTTTTCCAATTTCTTTGATCGTCGTTTGTTGAATTTTCAACTAGGGAGTTATAGTAGTTTCAAGTTAAGAAAAAGAATGATTTGGAACACAGACGGTGCAACACGTTTGTTTAGTCTTTAGTCTCGGCATGCAGCTACAAAGTTTAAGTTACTTGCTTGAAAATCTCTCCTCAACTTGAGTTAGTTATTTATAAATGTTTAATTATTAATTCTCATGTAGAATGGAAATTTGTTATTGGCTTATTCACATTATATTACATGAATTATTCGGATGACATGCATTGTTTATTTCATAATTCTGTTTCTATTAGAAATGAGTTAAAAAACGGATTTAAATAACGTAAAGAAATATATACTTAAATATATCCTACTGGAAGAAAAGGTTTTACATAAAACATCTTTCCTCATTTTATTTATTTATTATATGCAAACGGAATTACTTATATGAATTATTTTAGAAAATATAAACGCCATAAGTGCTGATATTTGAAATGAAATTATCATTAACTATTTTATTTGACAATTATCTATCTTCTTATTGCCAGAATGAGGACCAATATTTGATAAAGAATATATTTATCATTGTTATAAATTGTAATTGTTATAAAAATTGTTCGCAATCCATTTATATGGATTTATCTTGTTGGATACATTTGTCGATCCAAGGCATATAGGCATAAACTCGCGTGTATACATCTGGTTGATTCTTAGCGCAAGGTATTCCCCAGGACACTACGCCTATCTGCTCATTGCCGGCCACCAGAGGACCACCAGAATCACCCTACACACATATAAAGAACATAACAAATTAATGATTATGCGTTTCTCCATGTCCAGATCCATTCTTAGAATGCCAACGTTTCGTGAATCTTGCAATACACTTCATCAGGGTGAGGAGCAGCCTAATACTCGAAATATCAGGTTGCTCCTCGCTCTGATGAAGTGGACTGCAAAGTTCACGAAACGTTGGCATTCCAAGAATGGATCTGGACACGGAGAAAATCCGCGAAACGCATAATCTTTATAAAGAAAGCACCCGTGGAAGTCTCAAGAATAACAAATTTTTTTTAGTAAATATTATTCTGACTATTTTTAATGAATATTAATTATACTGCATACACATATTATCGAACTGTATTGTGTATAATTAAAAATTATTATTGTGATTAAATTAATATATATTCGATGTATATTTTATATTTAAAACATATTATCTTTAAAAAATATATATAATGGTACATTGTTTCTATACTTTAAAATATACTGTTTCTGTAATTAAAATAATTTAGAATTTTTCAATTTAAAAATTCTTCAATTACAATTTTTACAATTAAGCATATATCGTGCTAAAAAATGCTATTTGTAAAATGTACGATAAATGTATATCATGCGGCTTCTCGTAATGAAAGGGCTCTCTTCCTAAGTACTCAATCAGATTAGAATTTACTTACGTGACAGGCACCTTCGCCCCATTTGTTGAGCGTGCAGATATTATTTTTGGTGATGCGAAAGCTGCTAGCTGCGCACTGTTTTTGATTGATGACTCTGAGCTGGATATATTGTAAATCGTTCGGTGTCTTTCCCGGATACTGTAATACCCACACATAAATAATTATTTAAATTAATCCGAAAAATAATTGTTTATATAATAATTCGAATTACTAAATAATCATTTTAATCTACTTTATTATTTAATTAACAAGGAATACCGAATGTTTCAAATGGAAAACGGATTTGATTTTATTAATATTTATATGTATATTATATAATGTATATGCATGTATTGTACTTAATGTGATTTAAATATGCAAGGCATATTTGAAATGAAATTTTTGTGTCTCTCAACATAATAGGCAAATAGATAAGTATTTTATATTTACACTAGTAGTACCCCAGCCCGACAATATGACCGGATAATCGGATTTGTCAAAGTTTTTGGTGGGCAGAGCAATTGGTTTTACTTTGTCTCCAAAAACGATATCTTTGTTCACTTTAATTAATGCGATGTCATGCCAGATGAAGACGGAATTATAATAAGGATGTATCCATTTCTTGATCGAAAAGTACTGATCACCACCTTTGTCTAGAGTGTTTGTGCCCAATACAACCGTGATAACCGTGTTATCAAGACTGTAAACAAAGATTATAAAATTATATAATAATAATTCTGTCAAACAATTATCTCTTGCTGTAATTATGCATAATATTATAATATAAAAATTTTGCAGCTTATTTATTTTTTAGAAGATGTGACAATATTAATCAAAATTAATTACATACTGTTTTTAATATAAAATAAATTTAAATATGTAATTAATTATACATGTGTAGGAAAGTATTTAATTGTTAATGCGAATATATTATTATATATGTAAAATAATCTATTCTAAGAACAGTTGTCATATACCCTGAGCAGCAATGAGCAGCTGTAAGGATGTATCTTTCACTTATCACGGAACCTCCACAGAAATGTTGATTGTTTAAACGAAGAGATGCTTGATAAGGAAATTGTCCTTCGTCGGCAAGTTTGCCCCCCACGATTTTTGGGATTGGTTCAACTGACTCGTCGGCTACGTAATTATAAAAAAACTTTTCACATAAAAAGACTTTGTAATACGTCTTATTATTTACTTAAAATAGAATTATGTTCAATATTATTTACATCAAATTTTTCGAATGATTTTCATCTTTTTATTATTATTGTTTAATTTAATAAATTGAAAAAAGATCTCTAATGTGCAAATTGCATCATATACAAATACAATAAATTAATAATTATTGCGATAAATTATTGATAATAAATTGCAATAAATAACAAAAAATAACAATATATGTAAAATAAACTTTTAGTTTTATTTAATACATTTAAGATATAAATATAGATTTAATTTATATGTAATTTAATAAAACTAAGGATGCATCCGGCTAATATTTAGTTTTAGACAATATATATAACCGAAATTTTATATTGAAACGATGTGCATCGTGATAAATATCTTAAAAATTTTTATTATCACTATCACATATATCACTATATATTTTTTTAGAAATATATCAGTCATAATAAAAGTTTTGATTGATATACTTCTAAAAAAATATATCAGTGATAATAAAAGTTTTTAAGATATTTACACCACGTTACACATCATTTTAATATAAAATTTCGGATGCATGCGTATTGCCAGAAACCACAGATATCCGGTGCATCTCTAAATAAAATCATTTTCAGCGAAAATGGATCTTATGATAGTTGAATTTTACAACAATTTATTACAAATGTATGATCCTAAAAAAAAGAGATCCTTCATATATTTTATTAGTTAATATTTTTTGAATATGCATGTTAACTTATAAAAAAATTTCATTGTATAGAAATATAAAGGACTCTTATAATATATTCTTACCTGATAATTCATATATATTTGCAATAATACTTAAAATGTAGAGTATCGATAACATTTTTAGTAGACAATAAAGTCAATCAGTAGACTTTACTTTGTTTTCTGCAGCGTTTGATGATTTAATATCAATTAATTTTTATACTCGTTTACCACCAGCTCTTATATACACAGTAAATGATGATAATTAAGGAAATGTTGGACATTTAAATTTAGGTCAGACACCAGCAAAAAGAAAATACATTGTCCGGATGTATCTCATGCGCGATGCGATAGGTAAAGTGATATGCTGCCGTGCCGGTAGTTACGAAAATTTATGACCGGATATAGTTGTTATCATTGCTGTATAAAAATGCGTACTGCTGAAATATATAAATTGCAATTTAAATTCGATTTGGACTATTAGGCGATGGAAATGGTAATAATGGTAATAATCAATAATTAATGATAATATATGTAATATAAAGTCTAAATATATTGAATTATTAAAATTTATTTAGATAATTTACTTACAGATATATTATATTTTTATGAATTTAATAATGAAATAAATAAAAGCACCATTTGCATATCTATTCTTTTCGCATATATTTATATTTTATTATGATTTTACGCATTCAGAATTATTTGTAAAAAAACTATGAAATTATTTTATTTAAAACATATTTTTCCCTTAGATTTTTTTATCATTTTCATTCAGACATTTTCAAAGAACACAACTTAAGACAAAATATAATTACATAATTAACGATACAATTATGCGGCGTAATTATTGATGCAAAAAATACTAATTATTACAGAATTTAGAAAAACGTAATTTAATAAGAATATAAATAATAAATTTATTAAAGAAACTTTTGTGATACATATACATGTGTTTAGATTCTCAGTGAGAAATAACCTGAATCGATATCAAATCGATATCGATAATCCTAATGGCAATTCGATATTAATTCGATGTCTAATTGGTTATTGATTATTTTTCATTGTATTAAACGTACTTCCATTATTATAAAATATATAAATAATATTAATTAATATAAAAAATATACATTATATAAATTAATTTATATGAAATACATTATACAAAATATATTGGCAATATTTTTAAAGATTACGTCTTGCATGAAGAAAACTTGAGCAATGATTTTATTCGTATTGCGAATTTGTCGCAAGCAAAACGTGTTATATTCCGCGATAATTTTATATTTCGCAATATCACGTCATTAGTTATTCAATTTCACGGCGAGCGATATGCGCTAGAGATATTTATAAAATTCACTTCAACCTCACACTTATCTCCTAATACATTTGCCAAGTCTGGTGATTCGATAACGCGCGTGTTTCTTTGATATGCTACCATTCTGACGCATTTCCTTAAAAATTCAACGAATTATTATAAGTCGGAAAAAACACGAAAAAAACAAAATAAGAGAATAAAATAGAGAATTAATTTAAAAATAATATCAAAAAATCTTATTTTATCCATACGAATATCGTTCGAACAATTTTATATTTTAAATAAATTTTCGTTTGTTTGCAATTTAAATAAGATGAATTTGAATACATATATACGTCATAATATATACAACCATATACAATTTATCTTTTTTATATATTCGTTTATCTTACTGCGTCATTACACTTATTGCTGACCTTTGGACGAAAGATTGAAAGTTACAATCCTTTTTCGTGAAATATGTAAATGCCTATAAATACTTAACTAACATATAAAAATACAAGGAAACACTTCGGAGGTAGGTCGCAGAATTAACAGACACAATAATGTTGCATTTTAAGTTTTTTTTTTTTTTTTTTTTTATTAAAATAAGTCGAAAATAACGCGAATTGCGACGTTGCATTGTCAAAGAGTCAAAGCCTACATATCGCGCTGAAACTGAAACATTCGCACCAATATCCGACATATTGTTATTCCAAGCACGAAGTTTTGCGTTAGATCTCAACTTTGACGTTGACCCATGCACGGTGTTTCGCAACGCCCGTAATCACGTCTAAACGAAGTCCGTATAAAATATGCAAATATAGATACTCACAACCAGAAATTAGAAATAAAGACGACACCATTTCGCTTATGTTATAATAATAAAAATAAATAAAAATAAAAAAGCTCATAGCAGAGCCTTTATCATGTGCTATATTGAACTGCGTTCGGTTTAAACATTCACGCGTTGTAAATTTCATCTTATCTTCTTTCCGCAAGTAATACGATAAAGATAGAATGAAACTTACAGTATGTCAGTGCCTAAACTAAATACAGCCATTGTTTCCTTTGTTCTCCTTTTTTTCTTTTTTCTCTTAAACAATGTAAGCAATCTTAGTGAATATTTTGCAAATACAAAAGCTACATTATTTCGATTTATTACCTGTAGACTCCCTTGTCCATAGATAAGAAACGTTTTTTAAGTATCTATAAAAAGTAAAATTGTAACTTCCGCATAGATGTCCAGTATCACGCAATCCGTAATAGTTTTCATGATATATATAGAATGTCCTACTCAAAATACTATAGCAAGATTTTTTAAAAATTAAGTAAAAACATTTACAAGTAACTTTTTTAGCCAATTATAGATTACGTTTAGATGGCCATCTATTCACGAGTCGCGTGTGGTAGTATTAGTAAGCACTGATAAGCACGCATTTCAGCGCGCTCACTAAAGGGCTATGAACAATCAAAGGAATAAGCAGCAGAGAGCAAAGAATGTTAATCTATCAGAAACTGTGTATTCCACAGTACATGATTTCTGATAGGTTGAAATTCTTATTCTTTATTCTCTCTTCTTTCGATTGTGCGCAGTCTCTAATACTTACAGATCTCTAATACTTCTATCTAAATATAGTAACTGGCTATATTTAAACTCTTGTACCTCAAAAACTATTGCTAAAATAAAAATTTGTAAATAACTTTTTTATTTAATTTTTTTGAAAACTTCTTTGCTGTAGTATTTTGAGTCACAAATTTTAATAATGTGTATGCATGTGTGTGTGTATACATGTATATGTATATATATATATATGTATATATATATATATA